TTTAAAAAAAAATATTGATACGTATCAATGTTTCGATTCCCCGGTTATACGTGACAATGAGTAGGATCGCCTGTCCAATTTCGTGGTTTTCTCCGGGTCCTCTGGTTTCCTATCACTGCTAAAGACCCCTACGCGCAAGCGAATTACTGAAATAAAATTGAACCAAGTATTAGTCTCGAAATGACCTGTTTTGTGTCGAGTGGATGTCAAACCCCATTTCTCTCCCTCTATGTCAGGAAAATATTCACCAGTAAGTAGGCCAAGCATTACTGTTTGCTCTTTGGTAGCGTTCAAATAATCCATGTGTGTCTGTGGTAAATCAGGTGAAATCTGACCATTACTTTTTCCATTGTCCACTATATAACGGTCAACGATCTAAAACACTGGATACACTTCATCCAAAATATCAAAACAGCAAAGTACTGCTCTTTACAATTGAAAATGTTCTTCCAGATATTAACCATTCAATATTCAACACCTTACGAACTTTCATTAAATCAAACTAAATGATTCAAATTGTGAGTGCCACCTTACGTAATCCTTGTCCAGAATTAAACTATAGTAAAATGCTTACTGCCTGCTTTCCTCGACATTGATGACTACCCCTGTAACACTATCTTAGTGATAACAGAGATCAGTTTAGTAAATATATGATTTATTTACATCAGGTATATAAAACAGCTATAGTTACAGACATACAACATGAACTAAACTACATCGGCAACTAGACTTCTATAGGAAGTCAGGGACACATATAACAATATTAAATCCACCATTCCGCCCCTCTGCCAAGGCAGCGGCTGAACTCGGGAGAGATCATATGTAGTTTGTAAATGACATATGGGATTAATTACATGTTTAATTATATCATAGCCAGTCCGTGCCTTAAGAGAAGTTTATACAGAGTTGAAAGGTCAATATCACATATTATCAAAAACCAGCTGAGGTCATAAAGTTTTAAACACCTAAATGACCGTTCAATTTGATGAAAGTTATAGAGTACCCCACATGATCTTTTTTTTAATTTTTGTTTATTTGTTTTGTTCTATTATGTATGTGTATATTCTCGATATCTTTCATATCCGCTTCATCATTAATACATTTTTATCAGGAAGCGATATTTATAAGCATCTTCATGATTGTTTTCGTGTCCAATTCAGCTATAAAAATTGTAAACATTGCACTTAAATATTGTTTAAACCGTGAGTGTCCAATATACCGTAATTCAGCTATAAAAATTGTAAACATTGCAAATAAATATTGTTTAAACCGTATTGCGATTTGTAATCCATGTTGCGGAGACAGGCGTAACTTCTAAGAAAAATACAATAACAGTACAGACCTGCTGGAATAAACTATAGTTATCGCTTAAAATGTGTAAATAGAAAATTAAAAAAAAACACACGCACAAGGGAATGGTTAGCGCGTGAGCGCTGCGCTGTATTATACGGTCTGTCATTGAGTCAACTGGCGGGTTTTTGATTACCCGGATGTACGTGACAAGGAGTAGGGTCGCCTGTCCAACCTCATGGGTTTTCTCTGGGTCCTCTGGTCTCCTCCCACTGCTAAAGACCACAACGCGCAAGCGAATTGTTGAATTGAAATTGAACCATGTGTTAGTCCCGAAATGACCTAGTTTGTGTCGAGCAGACGTTAAATCCCACCCCTTTCTCTCTCTCTCTGTCTGTCTCTCTCTCTCTCTCTCTTTCTCTCTCTCTGACACCAACGGTGTCCTTTAAAGACGCGCAGACATTTCTCACCAATAGTATCAAAGGTAGCTGATAGTTCAAGCAGTGGGCCTTCAAAGAGAATCTGTTTCGTCATCTGCAGGTAATGAATCATTCGTCTATCCTATCAATGAACGAATTTACAAAATGTGAAGACCGTGATATGACTGGGCCCTATGTCTAAATGTCATTCAATACGCTAATAACAATAAAAGATATTGCGTGTTGTCGTAGCAGGCATTTTCTGATAATTGTTACCGTAATAGATACATGCTTATTTCGAGGTCTGCAAATCAACGTTGAAAGATATTTTCCTTATTTGATAAACAGGAGGAAGGTGTGTCTGAATCTATATCCCATAATGATTTGCGGATAAATGTCACGATATATTTTTAGCTACTGAATAAAGCGCTTTTATCAGAGGGTTTGTCCATGTAATTGTCCTATTTGCTACTAAAATCGTGCACACTTTGAAACATTGTATGAATAAATGACAAACTTTGAAACATTGTTATCAATAAATGACACACTTTGAAACATGGTTATCAATAAATAATATAAGTTGAAACATTGTTATCAATAAATGACACACTTTGAAACATTGTTATCAATAAATGATACACTTTGAAACATTGTTATCAATAAATGATACATTTTGAAACATTGTTATCAATAAATGACACACTTTGAAACATTGTTATGAATAAATGACAAACTTTGAAACATTGTTATCAATAAATAATATAAGTTGAAACATTGTTATCAATAAATGATATAAGTTGAAACATTGCTATCAATAAATGACACACTTTGAAACATTGTTATCAATAAATGACACACTTTGAAACATTGTTATCAATAAATGATACACTGATCTTTTAACTAAAACTCTCATTCCACATACTTAAATATATTGATAATTTGGATAAATATTTTGATGATTTGGATAAGGAAATGGACACAGAGGTAAAATATTACGCTTAAAGCATGTGCCAGTTTTGAATTTCAATATGTAACTTTTCAACCTGCGATATATTTTGATCTTCATTAAATAGAGAGAGAAAAATGGGATTTAACGTCCACTCGGCACAACTAGGTGGACTAACATATGAGGTGTTTAGCAGTGGGAAAACCCGGAGAAAACTTTTATTCAATAATCTCTCAAGTCAGTATAATAAAAAGTCGTTGATACATATGACACTGATATTGTTATTCACGTCATCTGGATCCCCATCTGTATTAATTTCCTAGATATGATTCATAAAACATAATCGTCCAGCATATCCGTTCAAATGTAAATACAATGCACTCTGTCACTTCCGACATCGAAAGGGATCAATAAAATATACCGGATTATACAGCATGTCGGAATACTCCAATTTTTCAATTCCGGAAGTATTATTGTACCTCGAATACCGGAAGTATTATTGTACCCAGAATATCGGAAGTATTATTGTACCTCGAATATCGGAAGTATTATTGTACCTCGAATGCCGGAAGTATTATTTACCTCGAATATCGGAAGTATTATTGTACCTCGAATACCGGAAGTATTATTGTACCTCGAATACTGGAAGTATTATTTCAATACACCTTCAAATACCCAGAACTTCAAATATGATAAACCTTTCTGTACATTCAAAATTTATTACATAGAATTATTACGTTTTTACTTCGGAAGCGTACAAACCGCTCATACATCATTCTGTTGTATTCGCACAAATCTATTATCGAATTGATGTTTTATGGGTCAAAATAACTAAGTATTATATGGAAGCGTATAGGGGTCAATAGCGCGATAGATACCGCAATAATAATTTGGTAATATGTCAATATATTGTGATTGTTCTGATGATTTTATCTCGGAAAAGACAATTTTTGCCAAGTTAATTGAATAACTCGCTATGTTGTATGTCGTTATTTCGTTTTAAATGCACACGCCGACATAGCGAATGGCGATATTTCGCGAAAATGTCGACATATGCTACGGCGATATGGAATATGTCGACAAAGCTTCATAATAGCAATATCTTAACGCAAACGTGCACATATAAAACGAAATGACGACATACAACATAGAGCGTTGACTCAATTAACTCGGCAAAAATTGTCTTTTCAGAGATAAAATCACCAGAACAATCACAATATATTGACATATTACCAAATTAATATTGCGGTATGTATCGCGCTATTGACCCCAATACGCTTCCATAGTATTAAGACTATCATCGTAAAAATGGAATCACTTGATGTATTACAAATGGGGTTAAACATGTCACTATAAAATAAATATACATCTTTTCTCGGTGGTTTACAAATCTGTTAAGCTGTTTCGAGGACTACTCAGCTTACAACTTGAAGTGTCTCATTAGTTGGCAGGTCGACGTCGTCTGATGTCATGTAACAATTTAAAAAAAGAAGTCGCAATACTTGAGAAAAACTTTAAACTTTCACGCCCTGTAACTCCATACAACTTAAACGATAGTTTCCCAAACAAAGATATGCAAGTGACGCATCCCGAAGTCAAAGCGACGACATGACGAATTCTTCAGATTGTGATATTTCGATGGCTGAATATCACCTGCTATATGGCTTGCTACAAGGTTACATGTTTTGTCCTATTCTATTTAGCCTATATACTAAATAAAGAGAAACAGAGAAATGGGGTTTAACGTCCACTCGACACAAACTTGGTCATTTCGGGACTAACACAGGTTCAATTGTATTGCAATAATTCGCTTGGGCGTAGGGGTCTTTAGCAGTGGGGGGAACTGGGGGACTCGGAGAAAACCCACGAGGTTGGACAGGCGACCCTACTCCTTGTCACTTACAACCGAGGAATCGAAACCACGCCAGTTGATTCAATGACAGGCCTTATGATACAGCGCGCACCTGCTAACCATTCGGTCATTCAGCACCCCCTAAATTAAAACCAATACATAATTCACTCTTGGGAATAACGCTGTGTATTTTTTGATATATTCAGCTTTCCATACAACCTGGGTGGAAATAAGCACCATTTTAAATAATTTACCCTGTCTCTCTTCATTGCCAAAAACTGAGGATATGTTCAAAGGTATTTGTTTACAAGACAAGAGTAAAATGATAGGTATAAAGGTGTAAACCGTAGACACTGGGCTAAATAAAGAAACCACTGTGCTGATTATTCACGACTGATATTTGTTCACCGTCTCTGTAAAAAATACAGTCAAGACAAAAACACCGCCAATTAATGACGTACGATTTCATTAAGTTTCTTTAAACACGTGACATGTTGATTCACAGTTTCTAAAACTTGTCAAGTTTTCGGTTGATGCATATCCCATTCTGTTGGATGTTCGAAATTTTACCTTAGGAGAGAACGTTTAAGTTTGAAATGGATAAATTACTGTATTTGGGTTTAAGTTTTGGTAAGTTAACATTTTTGTTCTATTTTATCGGATTATTATTTATGAGGATATACGTGCTATATGCAACATGATCGATATTGGATTCCAATTGGGGAGTCGTAAATCAGGTAAGATTTAATATTAAAAAAAAAAAAAAAAAAAAAAAAAAAAAAGAAAAACATGTTACCCTCTTCTTATTTAAGAATTTTTCTTATATACAACGATTCTGATTCACTTTTATATTTCTTTTTACATTAGGTTTGGCATTAAGTCCAAGTTCTTAGTTAAAGGCTCAATGCCACTCTTGTTGTAACTGAATAATATGTCCCAATCTTTATTCTGGTCAACAAATTGTACTATTTTAGAATATTTCAATTAATTGATGATACAAATTTCATCTTAACACACCTTATTTAAAAATTTTGAAAAATTCAACATAATGGTTTGAAACGTCTAACGTAAACCTTTACAAATGAAACTTCGATTTAAAAATATTTTCGAACCCTCTGGACAAGTAAAATAGAATTTAATGGATAATTTACACAACAGGTAGGATACGGAAAACATCTAATACTTAGAATAAGGCTATTATTTATTTTCTGGGGCTGTCAAGCCAGCGAGAGTGTTATTGGCCCTTTAAGAAATTTTCTTATATACAATGATTTCTGTTTCCTTTTTATATTTCTTTTTTACATTAGGTTTAGCATTAAATTTAGAAATTGTTTTCGTGAAAGCCACTATTACAGAAAGTCCGAGTTTGTTGAACAATGAAGGACTTCCAAGACCCAATGCCGTTCAGATGCCATCATGGATTAAATGTATGCGGTTACCATCCATGATTAATGCAACGCGTCAAAACCTAGCACTCGGTTCATTACACTGGTGTAGGTAAGTTGTTTTTAAATACATTATTGCACGAATTTCTTCTGTTGCCGATTTCTGTGTAGGATAAAACACGAGACTGCGGTTATGCTGGGGAAAGAAAGACTGAAGAAAATGACCAGAGAAAAAAAAAAGAAGGTTTTTCTTCTGAAGTCCTTCTTCCCTAGCATAACCGAAGTCGAGGACTTTATTTTGCTTACAAACCCTCTATGTTTACATGTACGCCAAATGAGAATATCCTAGAATTCCAGTAAGAAAAACCTTATATCATGTTTTCTTAAGGAAAAATACCTACTCTGAAAGAATGACCCGTTACAGGTTTAAAGAAAAACTTTCAAAAGAATAACCCCAAATTCCCCTGTATATATCAGACCGCAAGTTTTTCCGGGTATAGAATATACCCCAAAGATCAAAGAGATTTACCTTTACAGATTTATAAATCACTTTAATCTTGATTGATGTTGCTCTTCAAAGATAATACAGGTACATTTCTGACGATAGAAACATAGGTATATTTCAAATGGTACAATATTATTGACAAAATGTGCAACTAAGACCAAGGATTTGTCTGAAAATGTTTCGTATCTCTGTTGTATTAAGAAAATGACTGTACAACTGGCCTTTAGAAGCTTAAAGTCACTGTTTAATTAAATACGTTTTGTTCTTTTAAAGAATGAAAAAAAATCTTTCTTTGCCAAATGTTAAAGTGCAGGGAATTAGTTGGTGTTTCGGAGTTAACTCTCCTCCAAATACCAACAAGTGAACGTATTATTTAGGTTTCATTAACCATACATTATGTAAGAGCTATATCTGTCTATTGCAGGTCTTTCTTTAGTCCTAAAATGTTAGCTAAATTATTATTTAGACATTAATTTACTTATCCAGACCATGATTAACACTCGATGCTATCGCTAGCCTGTGATATTTAACGGATTGGAATACATTTTTTGAGAAAAAAAAAAAAAATAAACGTACCGACTTTAGGTTAGCCTAAAATTCAATCGCTAATATCTCGGTTCAGAGTGGAGCAATTTGAATGAAATTTTCAGCATTTTCTGTTTACATTATCTAGTTTTTAACTATTATAGTGAGAACTGTCAACTCGTTATCTCATCTCTCATAATGCATCTTTAATGAAAGTAATAAAGTCATTCTGTTATGTTTTCTTAAATAATATAACTAATATTTATATTTATATCTTTCCCTGTTTTATTTCTTTTAATAATGTGGACGTTATTTTACCGTGTTTATTTTAGCAGCGGTGTATATTTGAAATATATTCCCTGTCTTATTTCTTTTAGTAATGTGGACCTTATTTTACCCTGTTTATTTTAGCAGCGGTGTATATTTGAAATATATTCCCTGTCTTATTTCTTTTAGTAATGTGGACCTTATTTTACCCTGTTTAGAAGAGGGTTTACTACAAACAGCCCAGAACAACCCATTAGATTTCTTTGCTTCTTTAAATAAATCACCTGGCAGTTTAAAACAGAGAAGCGATGAATTATGTTCAACGAATCCCGGTTTGTTTAATAGATTTATTTAAATTGCCGAATTGTATGGGTATTTTATTTTGTTCAATAGCATTATTTAAATTGCTGAATAGTATGGGTATTTTATTTTGGAAATTTACTAGCCATTCACACCGGATCAACTTTGCGCAGGTGGCGTTTACGGACACTAGATATTTTCGAGAAATATTATTCCCCGATATGTTGTTACATCTTCTCTGAGATTGTGTTTTTAATTTTGTTTGTCTCTATTGTACTCAGTGTTCTCTTCATTTCTTAATGTGAAGATATTTAATTTTCTCATTTAAGAAACGGGTTGGGTGTGGGTGGATGGCCGAATGGTTAGCGCGTACGCTTTGTATCATAAGGTCTGTCATTGAATCAAGAGTGCGGTGTCGATTCCCCAGTTGTACGTGACAAGAAGTAGGGTCGCCTGTCCAACCTCGTGCGTTTTCTCTGGGTCCTCCGGTTTCCTCTCACTGCTAAAGACCCCTACGCGCAAGCGAATTATTGAAATAAAATTGAACAATATATGATATGTTAGTCCCGAAATGACCTAGTTTGTGTCGAGCGGACGTCAACCCCCCGCTCTCCGTCTCTCTTTCTCTCTCTCGCTCTTCTTTCTCTCTCTCATTTAAGAAACTAAAAATAGACCCAATAGTCCTACTAGTAGACTTACTTAATAGATGCGGAAACAAGTGGATGTTGTTGTTTTTTTAAAATAGAATAAAACTGTGCCGAGTTTGTTGACGGTAAATAAATATATGTTTGTGTTTGATTACAGAGTACACGGAAGATTTGAACTGTGCTAGGAATAGAAGTGAAATAGGAATGGCGGAATGTTCAATGCAATTTAAACAATCGGTGGACTATTTATATTTTATCAGAAATATGCAGGATATAACGGAAGAGATGTTGATAACTATGGCTTGCGAGTACGTATCATTTCTTCCATAAGAATATGTGAACTGAAATGAAATAGGGTTTAACGTCCTACTGTTCTGCTACGACTGGGATAGTGAAGACGGGCATTATACGCCACACAGTGTGCTATGAGGGGAATTTAGTCCGGCCAGCAGAACCATGGCCTACTCTTATATCGAATTCCAACTGCCAAAGGATCTTTTACGTGCACGCTCATGTATACACGGACCTCGTTTTTTTTCGTCCCACCCGAATGACTAGACATCTGCACTTGCCAGTCCCTCCCTCCTGCACCACTGACAAGTGGAAACCACGTCGGAAAATCCGGTGTATACATTGGCGTGCATGTAAAAGATCCCTTGACACTGACAGCTGGAGTTCGATATGAGAGTAGGTCTAGCACACTGTATGGCGTATGCCCGTCTTCATTAGCCCAGTCGGTGCAGAACACTAGGACGTTAAACCCCGTTTCATTTCACAATTTATTTATGAGTACATATTATAGTAGTTAAGAAAACTTATACTCAGTTATTTTGTAATATAAAATGTGTACGTCTTATGCTAGGCTCCCACTATCGTGCAATGCGTTACATGACTCCACGATCTGATAGGTGAAAATACGTTCAGATACGTTTCGATACGACCAACACGATTGCTACGACTGACCTCAATATATGATAGGATCACCACGATTACTCTACGATTAAAACCACGATTTCAATCGTAGCACGAACCGTGATAATGGCAACCTGGCATTAGCAGGATAAAAACAATCAGTTTGAATTTGGTGTAATGTTTAATCTAGACTTGTCTCAGTAAAGGCATTAATATCGTGTAATTGTATGTATCATTCAAACTTCAAATATAAACTTTTATTTTCTCAATATTTACAGCATAACATCAGAAACTAGTAGATGTATGAATCGAGAATATTCATCGTGTTCTGTAGAAACCAGACAATTTCTTCTAGGGTATTACGGTTTGTTTACAAATACAGAATGTGTTTATAATGCCAGCTTACCTGACGAACCACCTAGGTAATATATACATATTTCATTTGTTTAACACAGAAAACAGGAATGGGGGTGGGGGCGAATGGTTGACGCGTGTGCGTTGTATTATAAGGTCTGTCATTGAGTTAACTAGCGTGATTTCGATTCCCTGGTTGTACGTGAAAAGGAGTAGGGTTGCCTGTTCAACCTCGTGGGTTTTCTTCAGGTCCTCCGGTTTCCTCCCACTGCTAAAGACCCTTACGCGCAAGCGAGTTATTGATATAAAATTGAACCATATGTTAGTCCCAAAATGTCCTAGTCTGTGTCGAGTGGGCGTTAACCCCCATTTCTCTATTCTCTCTCTTCTATGAGCAAATGTCCGGTTTCCTCCCACTGCTAAAGACCCCTATGCGCAAGCGAATTATTGAAATATAATTAAAACCATATGTTAGTCCCGAAATGACCTAGTTTGTGTCGAGTGGACGTTAAACCCCATTTCTCTCTCTCTCTCTCTATGAGCAAATGACAAATCGACACTTGCAAACAGCACACTTTTTGCTCTATTCAATTTTCAAGAAATGTGTTTTATGGTGTACTTATTTCGTTTATGGCTACAATCTTTATACCTGACATTTAACCAGGTGAACGCGGTTTAGGATGATCGCTCAAACACTGTTACGGTACAACTACAACTTAGCTAGGCCTATCCTCAATTGTTTGTTCACCATTCGGCCTGGTTTATCACGATGGACATAACCATCGCGGTTTGTCAAGAATGTGGAATTTCTGAACCGAAAGAGCATCACGTCTTCCGTGAACGACGACGACTTCACGCCGTTCTCGTTCTCGGAACGCATCTAAACCCCATTTAATCGGTAATCGGAGACGCCCCTTGACTTGCTTAGTCACATGACTTCATGGTAGCACGTAATATAGTGTACTCTTGGCGTCATACGGTGACTAAGCTTATTGATGAATTTATATAGACATTCTAAAATCAAAGATGTCCCACTATCATGACATTTTTCTGAAGTAGTATGTCTACTGGTTTGAGAGAGAGAGAGAGAGAGAGAGGGAGAGAGAGAGAGTGTGTGTGTGACACGTACAGGCGGCGAATAGAAACCAGGCCACGTGACTCAATGACAAACCTTCTAATCCAACGCGCACACGTTACCCCCCCCCCCCCGCATTTACGTGACGAGGAATATGGTCGCCTGTCCAACCTCGTGGGTTTTCTCCGGGTTCCCGGTTTCCTCCCACAGTTAAAGACCTCTAAGCGCAAGGTGCTTTTTGAAATATTATGTTCCCGAAATGACCCGGTTCGTGTTGAGTGGACCCCATTTCTCTCTTCTCTGTCTTCTTTGATCAATAAATTTATTTCTAAAATTTTGAAAATAAATATTTTCAGATTACCAACACCCGTGGAAGAAACTATTTTAATGAAATGCGGTCTTGAGGCCTCGTTATCAGTAAACATGAGTTCACGTCCACCTCTAAACTCGACGGTTCAAGCTGTTATTATCACGGTACTATTAGAAGATTGTAGGTATGTACAGAAGGCTTTCCTTTCGACAAGACCCCAAACTTCTGTTTAGAAACCAGTTATGTAGTGTAGTAAACATTCAATGCCCTTGGCAGTTGGAATTCGATATAAGAGTAAGCCGTATTGCCGCTGTCAGGGAAAAATTTCCTTCATATATATACATGTAGCACACTGTATGGCGTATGCCCGTCTTCATTAGCCCAGTTCGGAGCAGAACAGTAGGACGTTAAACCCCATTTCATTTCATTTCACGTATTTGGTGAGTTTTACTTTCTATCATCCAGAAAAATATTCTGCGAATATTAGTCTGGATGCGTTGTCAACATTTGAGAATAATAGATCATTGCCTAGATTATCTGGTCTTTTACAATATCATAAGTAAAGACTAAGGGAGGTAACTAGTCCTAAAACAAGATGCTACGCCCATGAAATTAATTTAAGAATGACATTTGAGAAAATCCGTTTGAATGCCATTTCAATATCCAAACTCTTATTTCGTTTTGTACAATTTCTCTCTTCAATGGGCCATATCTATATTTTTTTTTAATTAATCCTAATTCGTCCTCACGATTCATGTTTGTTTATAATAATGCAAGAATTATGGGATTTATTGCGGAAAGGGGCGCAACTCTTATACATGAGCAATGCAACTTTTCGTCAAATATTGATAACGGTCCGTGACCCTCCGTACGTTGAAGACTAGTGAGTTTTAGCCCCGAATTTGAAATTCGATATGTCCCACATGAACAGAGGGAGTATTTTTTTTTTTTTTTTTTTAAAAACTACTGGGTGGATAGCTGCAATATTGTAACGGTGTCGTGTCTTGTCTTGTTCGACGCCACAATTCATATACACCCTTCGAGGCTTTGGATTTTATTAAATTATGAATTTATGTGGTAAGGTTTCACCTTTATTTCATTGGGAATTGGCTTATTATATGCTAAGCTGTGTGCAGTACAATTTGGGGACAGTTTTTAAAATACGAAATTAAGGGAGTTATAGGCCAGTAACATATTTTTTCGTGAAATGATTACGAAAAGGAAGTTTTTAGAACGATCAACTATTGTGGCTCGAGCAAGATGGAAGACATCAGTAGGGGAACCATTTTTACCGGGCCCCATCCCGTTCATTACGCCCTCCTTATTTTGATCACGTGTCCCGACATATAATTTCCATTTGTTTTTAAATGTACATACAATGTGAATCTACTGGGTTTTTTTTTTAGATTGTACCGACAAAGATTTCAGTGTTTTGAAAGAGAATTCCCGGCAGCTACCACATTCTTAGATGTTTGGCAGAAACAGACATTTAATTTGGAGCGAGCCATAGCAGCAAATGATCGGTTCTGTGCCAATACCAATGGTAAATTGTTTCAATGACATTTAGTAATTGAACTGGAATAAACAGGTCACAATTCTATGGAATACAATTACTGCTTATTACTGAGGGACGTTTCCACTAGACTTCTCTAGTCATTATCAGTAATAAGCAGTAATTGTATTCCATTGTGACCAGTATACAATACCAATGGTGAAAATTATGTTCATCTTCTACTAATTTACTGTGGAGGATTTTCCCCTTTCTCAACCAATAATATTGCTTTAGTTTCCCTAACGCTAGGTTCCCCTTATCACGATTCCTACTACGATTGAAATCATGGTTTTAGTCGTGAAGTAATCGTGGTGATCCTATCAGGTCTTATTATATATTGAGGTCAGTCGTAGCAATCATGTTGATCGTATCGATACGTATCTGTACGTACCAGATCGTGGACTCAATATGGACAATCCTATCATAACGCATTAATAAACAACAACATTCTGCCGATGAAAATATAATAATGTTGTCCTTTCCAGAGAAATAGTACATGATAAGAAAAGGTGATTGACCGTTAACTTTTTGGTACATTAAAGATACATTATGGGAGATTAGATAACGAGCTGGCGGTTCTTACTATAATAATTAAAAACTAGATACTGTAAAGTCAATTTGCTGAAAATTTCAGTCAAATTGATCCACTCTGAACCGAGAATTTAGCGATTGAATTTTAGGCCTAGCCTCGATCATCATTACTAAAGTCGGTACGATAAAATGACATAGTCTCGATTATCCATTTTTTGATATAATCATCAATGAGCGTTGAGCAGCAGATTGGATTCTAATCCAGTTATTATCGAAGGCTAGCCTTGACATCTAGAGTTGATTATTGTCTGGAAAAGTTAATTAATGTCTAATTAATAATTTTGATAACATTTCAGGCCTAAAGAAAGATCTGAAATAGGCAGATTTAGCTCTTGCATATAATGAATGTTTAAGTTGATCCCCTTGATCAGTTGATCCTCTGAAACTCTAGTAACATCCCTTCTATTTTTATCAGTTTAATAATATTTTCTAATTATTTTACACAGAATTTGTTTCTAAGCTGACATCGTCGTGTGTTAATAGTTTCGATCGGTTACTACAAGTATGTGAACGAGCATATGGGGTACGAATCGGGACAGCAGAGCTTAATTACAAAGAAGATAACACCAGCTTTGATCTTAAACAAGAAGCTTGCAAGTTAGTACATTATACAATTTCAATGAAAATCAAGCGGGGGAGGGGTGGATGGCCGAATGGTTAGCACGTGTGCGCTGTATCATAAGGTCTGTCATTGAGTCAACTGGTGGGGTTTCGATTCCCCGGTTGTGCGTGACAAGGAGTAGGGTCACCTGTCCAACCTTGTGAATTTTCTTCAAATCCTCCGGTTTCCTCCCACTGCTAAAGAACCCTACGCGCAAACGAATTAATGAAATATAATTGAACCATGTGTTAGTCCCGAAGTGACCTAGATTGTGTCGCGTGGACGTTAAACTCTATCTCGTCTGTTTACGAATGTAGAACTTACATGCCTGTAAAATAAACCGACGTATTTTAAGTCATCAGAGAACTACATGTAACAAAATCCATTTTTGAGTGAAGTCTGTATCACTACAGGCCCGGGACTGTACTGCGCAGTGGATGCTTACGGCTAGCCCCCCGATCCATTCCCTTTACCTGATATGTACGTTTGTTTGTGATTTCTGCGTAGTGTGCCTTATCCGTAGATTTGTTTTGTGTAATTATGTGTGGTGCAGTCCCCCTGCACTTACTAATAGAGATGACATTTTAATGTTGACAGCCATATCGTTCACCGTGCGCAGATGATCGCTCTAAAGCGAGATCGATCCAAGCTGTTGCACCAGCCTTAATAGCATACGTTCCACAAGTAACCCGTTTACTTCTTTGTTTTGCAGTGCATCTGTAGAACGTGTGAAATGTTTAAAGGAGGCGATTAAGACTTGTGGTGACTATGAAACTGATGAATACAGTACAAGTCAGTATGAAATGTTACCAGACTTCTGTCTTCAACAAACCAGTACTCAGTCGATTAATGACGACACGGAATCCTTACCAAATACCACCGGAAGAACCGTGGTGACAGCACGGCCTGTTGAAACAGCTGTGGATAGCACAACACGTCCTGATCAACGGGGAGAGGTAACAGACGGACCTAGTTCCGTGATGCAACCGGAAACCACCAATAGCCCAAGCTTATCTGACGTTACGAAACAAGTACCCCAAGACGAATATACACAAAAACAACCCGATACTACAACATCACCAGTATCCATTGACGTTACGAAACAACTACCCCAAGATAAATATAAACAAAGGCTACCTGATACTACAACATTACCAATATCCACAACCGAACGTCCAATCGACTCCACCAAGCAGTCCAAGCCAACAACATTACCAGCAAAAGCAGCTGTTCTCGGAAGAACCAACGACAAAAATGCAGCTACTTCTCCAACACTGGCGTTGGTGTTAATGATTATGTCATATTTTGTTCACACCCTTTAGAAACATTCTAATAGTCACAGCTGTATTCATAGAAAAGTTTAATTAAATGTGTGTTCGTGATCGGGAAATACTGTTTTACCAAAACCATAATTATTCAATCTGTATTTTTCTGTTCCACCGGTGTAAAAACTGAACATTAGATTGTTTTACTGGAAAGCCATATTATAAATTTTGACTCATGCCTGGCAAATACTATTCCAAGACCTCATGACGTTTCGGGTCTCAATAAAAGTAAAAAATCAAACATTGGAATTAATATTGAATTTTAAACATCAATGTTTTGTTGTTTGTGACATGTCCAAAAGAAATACCAACTCTCCACACGAAACGAAACGGATTGTGTAATTCCACTCTATAGCATTCCAAGAAATATCATAGAAATATCAATAGGTACTCGGATAGACATTTATCCGATAACACTAAAGATGAATATAATATGGTCGAACAAAATCTTGTCTGTACAAAGTAATAATTTAAATGTAAACTGAATGCAAAAACAAGAGAAAACAGGCTCATAATAAGTAGGTGCATTATCTTATATAACGAATAACCACAGGGAGAGAGAAATGGGGTTTAACGTCCACTCGACATAAACTAGGTAATTTTGTGTCTAACTTTTGATTCAGTTTTATTTCAACAATTCGTTTGCGCGTAGGAGTCTTTAGCAGTGGGGGGAAACCGGAGGACCTGGAGAAAACCCCCGAGGTTGGACAGGCGACCCTATCCCTTGTCACGTACAACCGGGGAATCGAAACCACGCCAGTTGGCTCAATGACAGACCTTATGATACAACGCGCACGCGCTAACCATTCGGCCCCACCCACCCCACGCCCTACGAATAGCAATTTAGTGTTTACTAGTTACACTGTAATATCTCAATGACGTTTAGGCTTTCGTCAACAGCGGAAAGACACGCCCTTTTCTATGTCTGCTTATGCATTTTAGCTGATATCTCTACGTGCATGTAAGTAGTTCGCTATTTCGCTGTGGAATGCCGGTTGCGGAAGTGACACATATCCAAGCGGTCAAGAAAACCAATAAACAAGAAGGCTTAAATCTAGAATAATACCTTTGTGGTTTTAAAAGTTTGTTTGAAGCACGTACAGTATGTTGAATTAATAGAGACTTGGCAAGCGGAATTTTTCTCATCAGTATCACGTATTCGTATCGTCACGTGATACGTTGCGTCAATGTACGTAGTTTTAGAGTTTTGGCATATTTTCGCGCTGAGCTTAGTACAGCATGATGGCAGTTATCTAACAAGATCATCATCAGTACTAGTCAATGATAGCCTTCAAATCACTAGAAGGAGTGAAGTTGTTCGCAGTCGCTGGGCTATTAAAAAAAATAATTATTTCGAATCTTATTAAAAATCTTCGACTTTGACTCAACAGCAGTTTTTGTTTCACTAATGTATCATTTCAGAAAGTTTATACCCCTTTACCATAGAATCACATCATTTACAGATTTGCAAGGTCCCACCTCCCTAAATTTAGCAGTACATCAAACAACTTGCAGACAGACAGGAAAAATATGAAAATTCCAAGAAAAACTCATAAAAAATAATTATTAAATTCTAGTATTTATCATGGTTAAAATCACATCAAACATACGCCTTAGTGTTCTAGGATACATATAGATTCATAAAAACTCTATGATACAACATTTCAGCGTCTAAAAGTAGCAAAAAAGACGGTAAAAGACGAAGGTGTTCTACGGACCGTTTCCGTATGAAATCTGTTCGATACGTGCTGTCGTATCCGTGTGCCGCATCACGTATGAGAAATACACACATTGATGACGTCACCCGCAAAATCGATAAAGATAAACGATACGGACCTGGAATTTACGCTTGCCTAAAGTCTCTAATGACTGCAAAGACGTATAACGTAAAATTCACATTTCAGTTATTAGAAATTAGCTTAGAGGAACATTATGGAAGATTAGATAAAGAGCTGGCAGTTAAAAACTAGATAATGTAAGGGAAAATGCTGAAAATTTCAGTCAAATTGCTCCACTGTAAAGGTCTTTCTTTGGACCTGAAATGTTATATAAACTATTAATTAGACATTTATAAACATGAAAAGACCTTAATCAATTCTCGACGCCATCTTATGTGCCGGAGTTTCACTGGGTTTGAATCCGATTTGTTGCTCAAGGCTCATTGATGATTTAATCCAAAAATGTATGATGGAGACTATGGTTTTTATCGAACCGACTTTAGTAATGATGATCGAGACTAGGCCTAACATTCAAACGCTAATATCTCGGTTCAGAGTAAAGCAATTTGACTGAAATTTTCAGCATACCTCCTTTCCATTATCTAGTGAAAACTGCCAGCTCTTTATCTAATATGCCACAATGTCCCTTTAAGAGTCGTCATGTGTACTCTGTGTGTGACGTCACCAACAATCATTGCGTATCATAATATCTAAACATGGAAACGGGTTTAAAGTGCATCACACATAAACGGTCATATATCGAATAATTTTAATGGAATTGATGTTACCGTGGTCTAAAGTATATAATCACATTGGTTTCAGGTGCATTACACTTAAGTATATCCATTTTAATAACGTGTTTTTATTTAATTAAACATAAATCAATCTATACCAGCGGTTTAATTAGGGTTTTATAATTATAAGATTAAATGCTATCTGATAATTGTAAGAATCGATTTCATATTTCTTAACAGCAATGCGTGCCTCTAATGGATCCCTTTATTATAGCATTAAATTATATATGCCCAAAGGGAAAGAACATTGGGACATGAACGATTTTTAGTTTTTGTTAATAGTTTATTTTCTAAAGATAATTGTATACATTAGCTTAAGTACATATTGATAAGAATATTATTAAAATATGAAATAATATTGAATTGGTTATTTACTTACTAATTGTATAATCCCACAGATTGTAAATGAACGAATGAAATATGAAACAAGTGATTGTGATAAGTACATATCATGTATATAGCCATCTAATCAATTGATTATAACACATATACGTTACTTCTTTCACATTTTTCAATATAGGAAGGGTCCAGATGAGGAAAGATCTAAGTCACATATTTGTCTTTTCGTAGAATTTCTCCCATAGCAAATTGTCTGGCGTATGTCCGTCTTCGTTAGCCCAGTCGGTGCACAACAGTAGGACGTTGAAGACCCACTGCTTTCATTTGTTTTTGATTGTGTCGGAACTTGGTTGTCTTTTGTTGTAGTAAGGTTTAAAACTTGATTGGCTTGGTTTTGTCAGTAGTAAGGTTTCAACTTGGTTGTTTGTTTTTATTTTGTCGGAAGTATAATTTTCAACATGGCTGTGTTTTCGTTTCTGTAGTTTAATGTGGTCATTTTACCAGCCAATGCTAGGTTTCCATGCCATGCGTTACGTTAGGATTGTCCCGAGTGAGTCCACGATCTGCTACGTGCAGCTACGTTCGGATACGTTTCGATAAGATCAACACAATTGCTACGACCAACCTAAATACATGTATATGATAGCACGAATCGTGATAGTGGAAACCTAGCATTAACCCTGTTCTCGTACTTCCGTTTCCCGCTGCCAATGTTTCCTGTACATAAATGCCAAAGTGTACACGGATGTTTCGTATATACCATCCGAACGACTAGGCAGACTTTCCATGTCATCCCAACAGTCCAAGTTTGAAAAAACGCCGTAGTTTAAACCCCGGATATTCTAGTTGAGGGTCAATTTCCATTATGTTCATTATGCCGTTTGCTGTTTTATGATTTTTTCACCAACAATCACATGCCCTTACTACTGCTTGACTATATACTGTAATATATAGTAAAGTAATAGTCAAGCAGTTTTATTTTAATCCCTTCCTTCAAGTGCCTGTGGGAATGCACGAGCTGATGCAGATACGAAACAACGCAATAATCAATAAAACAAGATATTATGATATACGTATATTGCTCTATACAAATTAATCACATATTCATAATATATATATATTTCCCATCAAAACATCACAGAAGAAAACACGGCATTGTTACAAATAAAAACAATTAAATTATTTATAAGAAACTATAGAAACGGGAGGTTTTCGTACATGGTATACAACTATACATATCACTGGTGAAACCAACAGCACTTTCATTATATATTACTGTGACGGTAAGAATTCAGTGCATGGTATACATCAATACATATCACCCTTCAAACGGACACCAATAGAGCTTTCATTATCAAGATGGAGTTAGAGAAAATAATATTCAACATTCTGGCAGTAATCGCAGGTAAGTCATTATCAATGGATTCTCAGACATTAAATTTCGACAATTTTTAGGGGTTATTTATTTATGTTGACTCTTGTTTGGGATGAGGTGAGTGAAATTTTGTCGTTAACCTTTTTCAATGAATGAAACACGCTGCTAATTTAGCTTGAATTGAAAGCTTTTATATAAGAGCCAGAGAGAGAGAGAGAGTGAGAGAGAAGGAGGGGAGAGAGAGAGAGATGGGGTTTAACGTCCACTCGACACAAACTAGGTCATTTCGGGACTAACATATGGTTCAACTTTATTTCAATAATTCCCATGCGCCTAGGGGTCTTTAGCAGTGGGAGGAAACCGGAGGACCCGGAGAAAATCCACGAGGTTGGACAGACGACCCTACTCTTTGTCACGTACAACCGGGGATTCGAAACCACGCCAGTCGACTCAATGACAGACTTTATGATACAGCGCGCGCACGCTAACCATTCAGCCATCCAACCCCCCTTTATATAAGAGAGAGAGAGAGAGAGAGGGAGGGGAGAGAGAGAGGGGAGAGAGAGAGAGAGAGCTTAACGTCCACTTGACACAAACTAGGTCATTTCGGGACTAACATATGGTTCAATTTTATTTCAATAATTCGCTTGCGCGTAGGGGTATTTAGCAGTGGGAGGAAACCGGAGGACCCGGAGAAAATCAACGAGGTTGGACGGGCGACCCTACTCTTTGTCACGTACAACCGGGGAATCGAATCCACGCCAGTTGACACCATGACAGATCTTATGATACAACGCGCGTGCTAACTATTGCCCCCCCCCCTCCTTTTATGTATAGGTTAACTGTATTTCTAGAATTTGGGCGTGTACAAAAGCTATACCAGGGGTGTTTAGCGGGGTTGGCCCGGGTAGACTGTATTCTGTTGGAAAATTACGATCTACGCCTAACCCAATAGCACTCTGCCTGCAAGAAATGGGGTCACCCTTGAGTTGATATCATCGGTATATGAATTCATACTATATAATAATGAAATGTTTTTGTTCTTAT